AACATCACGGAACAATACGGCGAGTGGATTAAATCTTAAAATTTCAACTTTGAAAGGAGCCAAACGCAAAAATGGACGATCCATTTTGTAGTAGCAGTAAAGTTTTGACGTTACCTTAATGCTCTGAAAATTTTGACGTTTCAACTGAAAAAGTGAAAGTGAAAAATTACGAGTGAATAAAGAAGCGCAGATGAGTTCAAAAAGTTTTCAAAATAACAAAATTCAGAAATTTCAGATTTTTTTATTTTTTTGCCCAGAAATAGGAGGGAAACAAGACTAAAAGGCTTACAATTTCTCATATCCATAAAAAAATTCTTATATCCATAAAAAAAAAGACGCCTTAGATAATCTCTCATATTAATTTTTGCCTCCTGAATAATTTTTTGTTTTTTATGAAGGTAGTTACGTAAAGCAAAATTCGAGTAACGGCTAATCATCGACTTCCCGAAACTCTTAATTGGCCTAACGGAAGTTAGTTAGCTTTTGACAACACATTTTCTTATTTTAAAATTTTGTCAGTTTAACCAAAGCAATTTTGTTCAAATGTGAGTAAGATACAGAAAAAACACCACGGGTATTTCGTTTCTACATAAGGCTTCGTAAATATCATGCTCCGCTGTTTCCAAACCAGTCGTAGGTCGAGGATTAGTTACCGGCGGAATATTTCGCCGATAGTCAATTGGCTTCAGACCTTCCTCAGCCAATAGGTCTTCATACCACTTAATATTGTTTTTTGCGCGTGGATGATTTGGATCTGTGATGAAGAAGGACATTATTTAACCTCGGTTACGAAAAGTAACCTGGTCTAAATTTGAATTCGCTATATTTAGCTTCTTAAACGTTTCTAAACGTTTCTAAAATATACCATAATAATCTTTAATGGTAGCAACGTAGCAAAAATCTTAGATAGATTTGGGTGAACTTACACAGTTTCAAATTAAAATTCAAGTAACACTACAAGTAATAAAAAACAACCAATTGTATGCAGCTGTTCGGTAAGCAGAAGGGCGCGTTTCAGATTGCCTTGTTTGAAGAGCGCAAAAGCCAAATATTCCAAAATTTCCTTTAATTGCACAGTTTCGTGCGGCGCTTCATCCCGCAACCGCTCCTGTGCCTCTTCCATCCATATTAAGGTATGGTAGTAGTCATTCACATTGTATGCTGCTCGACCAATATCAAAGCAATCCCTGGCTGAAAAAAAAAAAAATTCCATACCAGAATTTTTAGAAATTGTTCTAAAAAAATACTAATTATGACAAAATATATATATGCCTGTATCTTTCTTTTTTGTATCCGAAAGTTGAAACTTCTTCGGTAAACAGAAGAAAAAAAATAGCAGCAAATACAGTTTCAAATAAATGCAAACTTTTTGTTCATCCATTTTATGCTGAGCTTTAAAAGCAGGGCTTGACATTTGATCAAACTCCTAGACCCTAATTTAGCAGACAGTTAGAAATGTATGTACTAATATAAAACATTCATTAAGGTGTTCAAAATATAAGGACTGGAAACGTCATTTTATAATGCATTTCTTTCGAACCTGTAAACGGTTGAACACCAGAAGCATTCAGAATTTTCCCATCAGCTATCTCCTTAACATTTAGCCGATATGTATCTTGCAGCCGAAGTAAGGCTATTGCAGCTCCAACCAAATCTTCCTCAAAAATGTATTTCATTGAAGCAAGAGCTCATCTGCCCAATTTTGTATGAAAAATTACTGAAAATCCATCCCATAAGTGTCCGTAAATCTTAAAAAATTCATAATTATGATAATTTGAATCTTACTTTTCATGCAAATTATAGAAATGAGAAGTAATCTGCTAACATCATAGAATAGGATAAGTTAGGGACTCATGAAAGAGTACCGTTGTAGGGTTTTTCACATAATTCATTGCTCGTAATTCTGAAATTTCCTTCAATAACTCTTCGCCAATATCACTTCCTGCCAACCGTTTTATATCATCCCATTCCTCAATCAGCCTTTTGATAAGCAGATAAGCACTGACTGGATTGCTTAGCAATCGCATATCATTTCCTAAACTGCGATTGCCAAGCTGTTTTTTGCCTACTGAAAGCCTGAAAAATAAAATTAGTGGGACCTGACACTTAAGATGCAAGAATCGAAATTGAAATCATATTCTTCCAGTAATTGATAACCATTTTTAGTACTTGAACATTATAATCCAACTGGCGCAATATTTTAAAGGCATCAAAAATTTTAAACTTTCAACATAAATGAATAAAACAAACTGTTTGATTTGATCCAAACGTTGTTGGAACCTTTCGATGTACATATCGAGCAAATCAGGAATTCCCTTATCAGCTTCCAGAAGTAACTCCATTTCTGCGATTGATGTAAATAAATCAGCATGTGTAGTACTCCGCAGTGCCAAAATGAACACCACGGTAACTATCATCACTGGCTCTGGAAAATAAGAAGTATCAGAATAACAAATAATGAAGATATGTTCTTTTAGAACGAATACGTTGTAACAAAGAAACAGCGCAACTACCGTAAAACATTATCATCTGATTTATTCAAGTCCCTATACTTCAGATGCTTCAATCCACTACCTTTGTTGTGCTACGATAATAAAATTTAGGGTTTTTTAAAAAACTCATTAAATGAAGGATTTAAATGATACCATATCATCCATGTTTACTGCTTTTCTATGAGCAAAATTAAAATATGGAAGTAACTTAAAATCGGACAACTACGACACTAAGGGCGCAAAAGTCGCCCTTAGTGTCGTAGTTGTCCTAATTTCAATCCCAAACTCTGCAAGATTAGGGGAGAGAAGTGATGACATTAATTTGAGCATTATTAACAGGTCACTATAAATTATAGATGCAACAAGGAGGGAAATTTATTATTGGACAGACAAATAGCAACAAAATTGCGGACAGTCAAATAAAATCAATACGAACAGATCTAAGAGAAGAAGGAATTTGAAAGGAAGGGAGAGAGAGAAAAAGTGATGGATATGAGCCGAAAATGCTGAAAGGAAAAGGCAGGCGAGAAGGCAGTCTATCCTTCCTTCCTTTTCTTTTTCTCTCATGTACAATGCAAAAAGCGAAGAGTTACTGCAGTCAGCTGTAGTAGTGGGATGGATGATGACATTTGCTAACCACAATGGCAGTAGCCCTTCTTCTAAGTGCAGTGCCGGACGACTCATTCCGGGGGAGGTTGCTTACTTCCATGTTTCCGGAAGACTGTCAACCACATGGCGACTATACTCTCGTACATTTTAATCTTTCGCGTTTTCATATAATCTGATTCTTCCTCCGTAATAGGTTTCAACCTCTTTTGAAATCCTACAGCAGTGAAACAATTTTACTGTTGGAAAGGAGAGGAACTATCCAGGCACTTGACGATTGGAATAGGGAGGGGGAAATATATTCTAAGCTTCAGTCCTTTTTCATTTCTTCTAATCTTCAACAAACATTTACAATCCTAGAAAGTTTGAAATTGAGATATTATAATTTGTCGTTTTTATAGATAGATGCCAAGAGAGAAGGAGAGATTAAAAAAAAGTGGCAGAGAAAATCAAATACAGAAATAGAAAAACAATGAAGGAGGAAAGGGGTCTAAGTCTTCGTCGTCCTGTATGCAGTGTACGCAGTGATCTAAATTTTTAGCACTACCACATCACATTAATTTTTCTTCGGGAATATATTTATTTCCCTTTCTCACTATATAACTTAAAATATGGAATGAATTTATTAAAAAAGGACTAGAAACATCACTTTACTCACCGTGAATTCCTGCAGATTTGATCCCGAACACGATAAATTTGTTAATATTACTATTAAATCCATTTGTGTCTTAAATTTAAATTAATGAACAATTTGAGACTTATTGAGCAGAAAAACGAGTACAGGAAAAATGTAGAACTTTAAGCTCTATTTGATCTCTAGTGGAAAAAGATTTTAGATTATTTAATGAAAATTTATTAAAATTGAAGTTTCAATTGGATTTATAATTCAAAGTGAGAAAACTGGTGCTACTAAAATAGAATTTCGCTTTCTTCTAGCCACCATCACAACATTAAACAATAACAAGTAAAATAAGTCTTTGGATCGGTGTAAAAAAAGTTTTCGCCTCTTGACCATAGAATCTCGTTTTTGTTCAATTTTCATAAAGTCATCATATGTTTGCTACTTCCCATTAATGGCATAAATCTTTTTACTTGTCTTTCTTATTAATCGTCTTGTTATTGTCACAGGAACTGTCTTCAAATGTTTGCTGAATTTTAATATAATTGAGTGTAGCTAAGGTTTATTCAACACACCATTGAAATTTGTACTCAAGTGAAGGGGACAAGCCATTTTATATTCGTTGCACAACAATCTTTAGTCATAATTCTATGTCATTTTCGGAACAAATTCATTGATAAATCAAACGATATGCTGAATCATATCAATTGCATATCACTTACTTATACTACATGCTCCTTCATTATTTGTAGTTTTCTACATTTTCTACTTTAAAGCAATTTCTGGCCAATAAATTAGCGGCAGTAGGTAGCTAGAATAGTTAAAAGAGCCAAATCTTTTCCTACATGCAAATCGTTCTAATACTTGTGCAATTGTCTCATTCAAAAAACTACAAGAAATTTTGTTATCCTCTACTTCCGTTGTACAAAATAACAACAAAAAATCTGATACTAACGAATAAAACCAAAATTTCAGTTTGAGTGTGTATTTCAGTGTATTTCTGAGTGTACATTTCTGAGAGAACTTTCTTTACTTAAGAAATATTTTTTTTTTTAATATTATTTTGTAGCAGTATGTGTCACCACTAGGATACAAAAAATATCTTAGTTGTTTCTGAAAGTCATTTTGTATGTCGCACCTGCTGATCCATTCTAAAGGCATCCGAATTTTAAATCGAAATTGTAATTTGCAAAGAAATAATTAAATGAAAAAGAGAAAAGGATGGCTATTGCTGTTTGTTAAAAGTATTTGGTAATTTCAAATTTTTATTCCTGTTTTGTATAATGAAACTGAATGGTGGTGATAAAAAATTGCTCGTCGAAGAATCTCATGGAATGTTATCGGATGAAACGATTGTGGAAATATTCGAACAACTTGCGCCTAGAGAAAGGGCTCGATTCTCTGTTATTAATAAACGCTTGTATAATTTGTTACACCCAGTTTGTTGCTTTCTATTGATGCTAATCTAATAATGATCAAAGTGGTTTTAAATAGTTTGAGTCATGAAACATGTGTCGTCGTCGTCGTTCATATGGGCATTGTATCACTAGAACTTTTGCAGTGGAGTGATATTAATCGTATTACGGCACACAAAGTGGGCATTGTTCTCTCTTCTGATCGCTACATATTGGAAATACATAATAATAGTAGTACGGGAAATACGGTATGTTTCACAACACATGTCTGGCTGTCCATTTGATACAGCTTGTCGTCATTCATCTTTTCCAACTTGGTCATCGTAATAGTTGTATTTTGAGCAAAAATTTATTATTATTATTATTAAAAATGCTTAATATTACGGAAAAATATGACGAGCATACCGGAAAGCATCCAATTGAAATGGTCTTATTCAGGACGTTAATAAACTAGCGAAAGCACTTCGCAGTTCTCCGTTTATACAAAAGCTTGTGATTAGTAGCACGGACCATATTCGCACAATTCCTGCTACATCGTTCGACTGTTTATCAAACCTTCGAGAACTCACTCTACCTTGTGATATTTTTGATAAGTAAGACATTAACATCCTCTTGCTTTCCCTATAAATTGATTAAATCATCGTAAAATGCGTAGGATTATCCGCTACCTAAAATGAAATGAATCATCGATATTGTGGACCTTTCTTTCACTGCACTATCTGATGCCATTAGAATTGAAGTCTGTGAAGAATCCCATAATGCTAACCAGTCCGCGGTCAATTGCAGCTTAGACTATTAGTCTTGATCGATAAGACAAAAGAGTATCATCTGTTTCATTTTAGGTTTCTGCCATTTTTCTAGGCTTTGATATCACTGGGACCGCTGTCACTTTGTGTTATACAATCATAACTTCTTATTATAGAATAGAATTATATTTCCACCTTATTATGTAATTTAATTAACTAGTTTTACTCTTTAGAGAGTCGAATTTACATGAAAAAATCGAAGCAATATTTTCAATCAAGAGATTACTGGTTTTACGTATTTTAAAACGATTTGATACTCCACGCAAAGCAACAAATGTAATACGTGGGGAACACATAGAAAATTTGCAAGCAAATGCTATTAAAATGTTAAAATTACAGGTTACAAAATTTTATTTTTTAAATTTCAAAAGACGTAGAATTTATTGAATAACAAAAATTATTTGAAATATGCATTAGTTCGGCTTACTACTTTGATAGATAAAACTGAAAGAGGCTTTAGATTTGATGTGATAACTGTACAGCTATAAAATTGAGGTTAAAAGCTTTGTGAGGAGAAATTACAACTACAATTACTGTCACTTTTCTAGGGTGTGTCACTGACCGCAGTGGCAATGGAAAAGATTTCCGACAAATACTCGAATTCGTTAAAATATCTATGTCTTATGGGCACCTTGGTACATACACCCGATGGTGCCATTTATCTGAAAGCGTTGTGTGAGTTGGAATTTAATAGTGAATGTCTTAATGAGAAAGAAGGAGGGGAAAACCGTGTAACAAGTTTATCAGTTGCTATCATAGTTACAGTAAACTAGCTAACGTTTGCATTTTTTTTTAAAAAGTTATTGAAGAATTGCAGATAATTAACAATCACGCACAAATAATTAACTACCGGAATTTTAATTTAAGGCAATTTGAGGTGCTTGTGTAAACTGACGTTACCGCCATCACTTCTATCATTGAGTAGTAAACCATTGTATCAAGAATGTCGAATGCTGCAACAACTCACTACCAAATATCTCTCCGTATATGTTTACGAATCAGTTGAGACACGATATTTTATGAAGAAATTGCTACCGATTACATTTTATGAAGTTTGCATTGACCCTACCATATGCTAGAGATTTGAAAACTATGATGACTTTTATGTTTTTCATGTACCCAACGTATTACTTTAGTCTCCTTGTTGTGTACGAATACAAACAATGAATCATAATTGCTAACATAAAAAGAATGAACATCTCATGAACAAGTCTATTTTCAACTCATTCAAAAAAAAAAGAGGTTCAAAAACATACATCAATATATATGAAGGAGCGAAAGAAGATTTGGCGATCAACAACGTACGCCCAAAAAAGTCAAAACTAGTTATAGTCATTCCACTTTACTGTAATGATCAATCAGAAAGTGAATTATTCATCTCACATCAGCAATTTATCATTCTATCTTTTGAGGAAAAGAAGTCTCTGGAAGATTCGCCTTCCTCTTTTTATGTGCAACCGTAACGCTCTCTCTTATAAACGTAACACTGTGTTTCTCCACTGTATGTTTTTGCTACTTCTACTGCATTAGGAGTAAGTTTTGAAAGTTATATATTGCAAGGTATTTTACATTTGATGAGTTTAAAATTTATTTTACTATGCATGATTGTGTTAGCATTAAACGTCAGAGGAGAGGAAGTATTATTCATTTATCGAAAGATTCATTAGTCATTTCGCATTTACGCTTCATTGTAATCTGCCAATGTGAGAAGGATTTAAAAAAATCACTATGTTATGACTTTTACGTAAGTTTTACATTGAAATGAAGAACGGAATGCAAAAGTAAGAGTCAAATTGGGCTTTAAAGAAGCAAAAGCGCTTACTTTTTCAAATAATCAAGTTTTTCTAACTCTTTTTCCACGTAAGCGTTAATCATTACCGGAATATCTCTCTCAGCTCCTATCAATGCTTTCAGAGAGGCAAGGGATGAGAAACTATCGGCAGAAACCGCGATCAATAACAATACATTAAGTATTATCTGGAACATCATTTTCCTGCAATGCATTATCCATAGCAGCATTACTTTCTGCACTTATGCAAAACACATAAATTGCAAGCACTGTGCTAAAGGGAATCGACTGAATATGTTGTAAAGAAATATGGTTGTATTGCACATGTTCTGCATGAAATGTAGGAAACGAGAAGTCAGCGTGAAATAGTAGAGGATGAAGTAAAGGTAAAGGTATGACGACGCATCACCACCACTTTGTTATCTACATATTAAGCATGTCAAACTGAAACTATCCTGTCATCCTTTTCCTTCGCTAGAACCCGAAGGCCGGAGCATCCATCACAAATCTGCTAGTTCTAATTATACAACATAAATAACATTGAAATTAGATAAAGAATCAAGTTTCAATTAATGTCAAATATGCGTAGTGTGCATTGAAATATCTGTATCTATATGGAAATGTGATATTTATGAACATCACATTTCCCTCTTAAGCATTATAAAATACAGCAAAGAGCGAAAGAAGGCATGGTGATTGAAAGGTGTGCTACGTAAGAGTCAAAACTAGTTATAGTCATTCCATTTTACTGCCATGATCAACCAGAAAGTGAATTATTCATCTCACATCAGCAATTTATCATTCTATCTTTTGAGGAAAAGAAGTCTCTGGAAGATTCGCCTTCCTCTTTTTATGTGCAACCGTAACGCTCTCTCTTATAAACGTAACACTGTGTTTCTCCACTGTATGTTTTTGCTACTTCTACTGCATTAGGAGTAAGTTTTGAAAGTTATATATTGCAAGGTATTTTACATTTGATGAGTTTAAAATTTATTTTACTATGCATGATTGTGTTAGCATTAAACGTGGAAAAAAGACAGAGGAGAGGAAGTATTATTCATTTATCGAAAGATTCATTAGTCATTTCGCATTTACGCTTCATTGTAATCTGCCAATGTGAGAAGGATTTAAAAAAATCACTATGTTATGACTTTTACGTAAGTTTTACATTGAAATGAAGAACGGAATGCAAAAGTAAGAGTCAAATTGGGCTTTAAAGAAGCAAAAGCGCTTACTTTTTCAAATAATCAAGTTTTTCTAACTCTTTTTCCACGTAAGCGTTAATCATTACCGGAATATCTCTCTCAGCTCCTATCAATGCTTTCAGAGAGGCAAGGGATGAGAAACTATCGGCAGAAACCGCGATCAATAACAATACATTAAGTATTATCTGGAACATCATTTTCCTGCAATGCATTATCCATAGCAGCATTACTTTCTGCACTTATGCAAAACACATAAATTGCAAGCACTGTGCTAAAGGGAATCGACTGAATATGTTGTAAAGAAATATGGTTGTATTGCACATGTTCTGCATGAAATGTAGGAAACGAGAAGTCAGCGTGAAATAGTAGAGGATGAAGTAAAGGTAAAGGTATGACGACGCATCACCACCACTTTGTTATCTACATATTAAGCATGTCAAACTGAAACTATCCTGTCATCCTTTTCCTTCGCTAGAACCCGAAGGCCGGAGCATCCATCACAAATCTGCTAGTTCTAATTATACAACATAAATAACATTGAAATTAGATAAAGAATCAAGTTTCAATTAATGTCAAATATGCGTAGTGTGCATTGAAATATCTGTATCTATATGGAAATGTGATATTTATGAACATCACATTTCCCTCTTAAGCATTATAAAATACAGCAAAGAGCGAAAGAAGGCATGGTGATTGAAAGGTGTGCTACGTAAGAGTCAAAACTAGTTATAGTCATTCCATTTTACTGCCATGATCAACCAGAAAGTGAATTATTCATCTCACATCAGCAATTTATCATTCTATCTTTTGAGGAAAAGAAGTCTCTGGAAGATTCGCCTTCCTCTTTTTATGTGCAACCGTAACGCTCTCTCTTATAACCGTAACACTATCACGACCAGTCGGGTATTTTGATGATAATCTTAGTTTTTTGAAGTTTATCAATCTAATATTCATCTGAAATTCATCTGTGTAGGAATGTTAGAATTAACGCTTCTATACCAATGATGAAAAGATCCAGGAAGAATATATGTATGAGATTGAAACACCACTTGAAATGCCACTTGAGTGCTTAGCCAGAATCGATATGACAAAAGTGCTAATATTGTAATATTTCCCACTATATTACTTTTCAAATGTGTTTTCTGAATATTAGGCACGAAAATGATAGTACAATTATTATTAAAAGATGTGAATAAGAAGGATTACATGACGGGCGAGATTCTAAAGGAAAGTATAATGCACCTTCCGTTGTACACTGCAGTGGAACGAATAAAGCGCTCTTACATGTGATAGCCACTGAATGGTAAACAGCGCTCATTTAGACCCTCAAACTGAATTATCATCAATCTGGTATTGAACACATTAATATCTAAATTCCACCATCTTTCCTTATGCAACAACAATTTTATGACGAAAGACGACGAGCAACATGATTTTTCTCTTCTTGCAGTGCCCAGAAAGCTCAATGGATTTAGAATGACGAGGTGATTGATATGTTTTGAGAGCAAATAATACAGAGAACGTCTGTGATATAACAGGGAATTGTCATTGATTTGCTTCAATTCAGAACATTAAACAAAACATTACGTCTGGCATATTTAGTTTCGATAAGGCCTTACGTAAGCAACAGTAATGTTTCTTAGCTTAGGTAAAATTTGGCCATGTGATCTGTAATACTTTAAAAGTATTCGCCCGTTAACACTTCTGTGCTCCAATGAGTCTGCTCTATTCGGTCTTCTGAGATAGTGCTGTAATAAAAAAGTAGTGGTACTTTTGGTCGACAAACGAAAATCATAATTTTTCTAGAAGTGAATGGCTGGGGCGGAAAGATGGTTCAATGGTCATAGAATTGTCCCTGTTGCGAATTTCAATACTGCGAAACTCTAATAAGATAATTTTATAAAAAAAGAATTGATTATTCGAATTATAAACAAATGTTAACAGTGTTATGAATCATTTAACTAGTTCTATCCTCATATTTAACCAAATTCACATTCCAATTTTTCGATTTGATGTTGTTGACATCCTTGAATCTTTACAATTCCTTCTGTATCGATATGAATGTCTATTAGCTACTCACTTGATTGGTATTTTTTATCTGAAAATCGTGCTATATCATTAAAGATTCAGTAATCTGATTGCGATTTCATAGATTAAAGTAACCCATAATTTGCTTTCATGATCAATAGGTAACACCATTGTTACATTGTCTTGGAATTTTATTAATTAAAATGCCGATTCTGTAATTGGTAAACTTTTTAAATTCCTGTTTGTTCCTGATGCTTGATAAAATATTCCAAGACAAAAAAAATCATTACAATATTTTATGTGGTTAATAACATTACGATAAGCATCGAACCGGCAAAGGAAAAGTTAGCCAATCTTCTCGAAGAGGTAAAATTAATACATTTTGTGTCTCCGGAGCCAAATACGATATTGGGGCAACAGGAAGAATTCTATATACTAAGGAAGAGAATACTCCAACGTTCATTCATTCTTGTTGACAATAAACTACAGTCACCAAGTCTGAACAAAACAACGTTATACCCTGGAGAAACCGCACTGTCAACAATATGAAGTAATCAGAAATTTTCATAAGCTACAATAAAGGAAAGGACACCATGTATATTTTGCACATGCGACCTTTGGGACAGCAAATGCGACGTCTATTCTACCCTAAATACTCGTTGAGCTATTATAGAATCATATACCCAATAGATTTTATTTTATCTATTACTTCATTAAATATAGCGATCAATTATGACAGTGATAAAGACGAATATACTCTTTAAACATTAAAGACTAAAAACAAACTAGTCAAATATTGAATCAATATTCTTATCACAGATCTTTTTGAAACTAGTGTCCCATAGATTGGTAGAAAAAAGTAATCCATATGTGAATGAAATAGTTTTAATAAATGAACCCGGAATGTCTCGTGGTATGTGGAAATTAGCAAAGATAATAAAAATTAACCGAGGATGAGATGGAAGAATAAGAAACAACAATACAAAGGCCCAAAAGCAAATAATTTGATCAGTTAATAAATATGTTCTATTCTATGGAAATAGATGTTTCCGAGAAT